CAAACGATCACAAGAATACAAAACGTCGTCAATCTCAAATGATGGCGAATTAAAAAGAGAGTATTTGCATTTACTGCTTCAAATTTTCTCCCGAACAACCTCCTTAAAACTGTACGACAGCTTAAAGGCGACCTTTGTATGTGCCTGCTTAATTTCCATTAACTTTAATCACATATTCAAATAAATTATTATTTAAATATACAATACGTCACTACGTGCCCTAACTGCGTAGTTCCCAATAAAATGAAGACAAGCGAAGGAACGACTCTGCGTAGAGATACAGCAGCACTGCAAGTGCAGGTTCGTAGTCCATGGTTTCACCACACCGACATACAAGTCAGTGACACGTCACTGCTGACGATGACTGATGCCCTGAAACGCGGACCTAACATTTTTTAGATCCGGAACATTCTATTATACTACTGACGATAGGTCGAGACGGAAGCAAGCTCTGAGGTCCTGTTTACTTTAACGTCTTATCTTCTGTTGTGTTACGTCATCCAACGTTCTAAAAGCCATACGTACTTCACGTCCTGAATTGGTTTAGTTTGTCCGGATGTTCGCTGAGCACGAGATACCTAGTGATGAGAAATCTCCAGGTAAGAGAGTGAGAAATGGGTTTATACGATATCTATAAAATGTATTCAGTCGGTGTGAATAATTTATAGGACGGTAGTTGTTGCTAAGTATTCTAAGTACACGGTATTCCTAGTAGGGTTGTTGATTAGTATCGGCCCAATATAACCCCATGTTTACTTGAAACTCGGACCGAATTTACCGATTTTCCGAAACAGGCTTTTCATGCAACAAGTTGGTACATTCTATGCCCAATTAACGTCGGCGATGTGTTCCATAAAGGCTGAACCTGAACGAAACGACGTAAAGAGAAGCAGTTGTTCTCGTTTGTGATTAATTAGTGATGGGTTCATATTGCACTTTTTCTCACAAATGTTAATGTTAGAAAAGTAGGTGAGGATGTGTTCGTATTGTCAAGAAACCAAGTGAGGCAATATAAACTTTTAAGACATCTAAAGTTTTACATATTATTACAAATTGAAAAATGCAGATGAAACCGTTAAAAAATAAATAGCTTATGCAATGTTCGGTATTCCGAAGGAAAACTTGTATAACTTGCAAGTGAGAAAGACGATTAGAATAAATGCAAGACCGGGTTCGATTAAAAATGAAAATTTTCAAATATCATATAGGTAGCGACGTGAACTCCAGGAACCTGCAACATTGTGAGAAACAGAAAAACGAAACAACGTTGTACATGACTTAAAATGCTTCATTCAGATCAACTTTCGTTAATATTTTCCTGTGTGGTGAATATTCAGTGAAAGGCAGTGCAGTTCATCTGTTGGGTGATAGTTTTGTGAAAATTGGTTTGTGTCTGCATTAAATGAATTTCGAGGTAAAACAGGAAGGGAAAAAAGATGTGCACTCCACTGTAGTTGCCCTACATTATATTTATTCATCTCAAGGCCTGTGTTTCGAAGTGACGCATCGTAACAGAGCTACAAGTTGAAGACAACCTTGCACAGCTGATTGCCTGCCTCTATCAGCTGTCGTGACTGGACATTTAGTACTAAATGCATATTCACCTTACTTCCTCCACAAAGCTTCTCCGTAGATTTCAAACTTCTGTCATCTGAGAAAATTTGAATGACATTGAAAGATATGTTAAATTGTTCTTTTGGACTTTGGCCATCGTCTAAATTATAAAATAATAAAACTACGTTTCGGACCTCAGTCCAGGTCTGAGGCTGGCCCAACAGATAGGCCTTTTTGACCTCTTTCC